CCAAATATTCGTTAATAATATTGCCCAAACTAACAAATTGCTTTATTCATAATTATCTTTTTCTATGTCTGTTTCCATGCTTTGATTGAGTTTAGAGATAGTGTAAGTAATTTATTTTTTATTCTCAGCACTACCATTGTCCTCAGTGTGGTTCAATGCTTTGAAATCATTATTACTCAAAATTGGAATACTAGTTCCATATACGTATCCTAAAATGTTTGAATTATGTTTATTTTTGGTCAGTCAAATATAGTTTTATGTATGTTGAGTTTGTAGATGGTTATTTATATCCTAAGTATTTTTTTTTCAGGAATGATTAGCATACCAGTTTTCTATCCTCTAGAATATATTTATTAATTATAACTAACTGCAGAATTTTACATTGATCACTATTAAAAGTTCTATCTTTTCTGTGTGCCCACTGTTCTGTCTTCTCAGTATATTTTTAATATCATCTAATGAAGCTCCCTTTGAGCTTACTTTCACTTTTCTATTTTCTAAGGATGTGAATGGTATTGAACACATGACAAACATGATACAAAACTAAGAGCCTATTAATAAGTTAATTTCTGAATGAACTCATGCTTATTTTTATTAACAATTCATGTTGGAATTTTTATGGATATTGATCCTTAGCTCATCTGACTTTATAGTTTTGGGAAATTGTTTTAATTATACTTTAAGCTCTTGAATACGTGTGCAGAATGTGCAGGTTTGTTACATAGGTGCACAAGTGCCATGGTGGTTTGCTGCATCCATCAACCCGTCATCTACATTAGGTATTTCCCCTAATATTATCCCTCCCCTATCCCCCAACCATGACAGGCCCTGGTGTGTGATATTCCCCTCCCTGTGTCCATGTGGTCTCATTGTTCAATGCCCACTTATGAGGAAGAACATGCCATGTTTCATTTTCTGTTCTTGTGTCAGTTTGCTGAGAATGATGGTTTCCAGCTTCATCCATGTCCCTGCAAAGGAAATAAACTCATCCTTTTTTATGGCTGTATAGTATTCCCTGGTGTATTATGTGCCACATTTTGTTTATCCAGTCTATCACTGATGCGTATTTGGGTTGGTTCCAAGTCTTTGATATTGTGAACAGTGCCGCAATAAACATACGTGTGCATGTGTGTTTGTAATAGAATGGTTTATAATCCTTTGGGCATATACCTAGTAATGGCAATGCTGGGTCAAATGGAATTTCTGGTTCTAGGTCCTTGAGGAATTACCACAGTCTTCCACAATGGTTGAATTAATTTACACTCCCACCAATAGTGTGAAACAGTTTGTATTTCTCCACATCCTCTCCAGGATCTGTTGTCTCCAGACTTTTTAATGATTGTTATTCTAACCAGAGCGAGATGAGATGGTATCTCAATGTGGTTTTGATTTGCTTTTCTCTAATGACCAGTGATGATGAACTTTCTTTTCATATGTTTGTTGGCTGCATAAATGTCTTCTTTGGAAAAGTATCTGTTCATATTCTTTGCCAATTTTTTGATGGGCTTGTTTTTTCTGTATATCTACTTTAGTTCTTTGTAGATTCTGGATGTTAGCCTTTTGTCAGATGGGTTGCTAACTTATATAAATGTATATTTGATTGCAAAAAATTTTTCTCATTCTGTTGGTTGCTGGTACACTCTAATGATAGTATCTTTTGTTATGAAGAAACTCTTTAGTTTAAATATATCTCATTTCTCTATTTTGGCTTTCATTGACATTGCTTTTGGTGTTTTAGTCATGAAGTCTTTGCCCATGTCTGTGTCCTGACTGGTTTTGCCTAGGTTTTCTTCTAGGGTTTTTATGGTGTTAGGTCTTATGTTTAAATCTTTAATCCATCTGGAGTTAATTTTTGTATAAGGGAAAAGGAAGTAATCTAGTTTCAGCTTTCTACATATGGCTAGCCAGTTTTCCCAACACCATTTGTTTAATAGAGAATTCTTTCTCCATTGCTTGTTTTTGTCAGGGTTGTCAAAGATCAAATGGTTATGGATGTATGGTGTTGTTTCTGAGGCCTCTGTTCTATTCCATTGTGCTATATCTCTGTTTTGGTACCAGAACCATACTGTTTTGATTACTGTAGCCTTGTAGTATAGTTTGGAGTCAGGTAGCATCATGCCTCCAGCTTTTTTTTTTTTTTTTTGACATGTCTTGGCTATGTGGGCTCTTTTTTGGTTCCATATAAAATTTATGGTGCTTTTTTTTTTTTTTCCAATTCTGTGAAGAAAGTCAATGATAGCTTGATGGGGATAGCAAGGAAGTTTCAGTTCTCTAAAAAAATAGGACATTTGTTTATCTTGTACCTCTTGTATTTTTCTTATTATACCAGATTTAAAAAATATTACACTTAATATTTCTGCTACTGTAGCTACATGTTCTTTTAGTTATTCTTGGGTATAATTTGGCTAAGTCTTTTTAGTTTTACATATGTTTAAATCTTCTCTCAGATTTAGGATTTCACTCATATTTTTCCTAATTCTTTTGACTTAATTTGTAAAATCTAAATTACATGTGTATCTTTGCCTGGCATTTTCTTCCATTGCCATTCTAAACTCTGAGATTATATAGATTGGATAGGTTTCTATTTTTCTATTTTAAAAACAGTATTTTAAAAAATTCAATTTAATCTTAATTCAGTTCTTCCAAGTTCACATTTTTTAACATCTATTTAGTAGTGTTACTGAATTATGATTGTTAACTTCATCTTCTAGGGTTAGGGTATATTTATTGTCCTCTGTGATACTGCTTTTTGCTAATGTATGTAAAATTTGTTACTAATTATTTTTTCAGTCTTGGAATATTCACACTCAGAGACTCATACCTCATATTTCTTTCTTTCTTTTTTTTTTGAGACAGAGTTTTGCTTTTGTTGCCCACGCTGGAGTGCAATGGCACTATCTCAACTCACTGCAACCTCCGCCACCCGAATAGCTGGGACTATAGGCACCCACCACCACACCCAGCTAATTTTTGTATTTTTAGTAGAGATGGGGTTTCACCATGGAGGTCAGGCTCGTCTTGAACTCCTGATCAGGTCATCCACCTGTCTTTGCCTCCCAAAATGCTGGGATTACAGGCGTGAACCACTGTGCCCACCCATACTTCAATTTTATATACTGCTGATCAGGTTGAATAATCTCTAGTAAAATGCTCTTTTTTTTAAATTTTAAAATAAGCATTTGTTCATTGCCAGAAGTTCATTATTCTGCATTGTAAGAAAATACAATCCTGTGCCCTGTAATTGCCTGTAGATGCACAATTCACTTTTTGCACTTCACCTTTTTTTTCCAAAGAAAGATGTTTAAGGGAAAGGATATACAGAAATAGTAATATGTCTTAAAGAATTTTCAGGTTTCTATGAAGGACTTGATAGTCACCATAGAAAATACTATAGTGCCATAAGGGCATGGACTTTGAAATTCACACATAGGGAAATTTCTGTATTTCTTGGAGTCTCAGTTTACAAATCTGAAAAAACAAAAAACAAGTGAAAAAGTATTTCAGGACAAGAAAAGGAATGTCAGATGATGTGGGAAGGGCTAATGCATATCCCAATGCAAAGACCATAGTTGATAATAAATACACTGGTAAATATATTTTCAATATATTATCATATAGCTTTATATGAGCATCTATTTCAGTTCACAGAATTATATACATAATGGCAAAAAGTGGTTTTTATTCTAATAACATTAGGTACTATTTGTTGACACCTACCTTTATAGAAAAATAAGTAAAATGTGGCTGGGTGCAGTGGCTCACGCCTATAATCCCAGCACTTTGGGAGGCCGAGGTGGGGGGATCACGAGGTCAAGAGATCGAGACCATCCTGGTCAACAAGGTGAAACCCCGTCTCTACTAAAAATACAAAAATTAGCTGGGCATGGTGGTGCACGCCTGTAGTTCCAGCTACTCAGGAGGCTGAGGCAGGAGAATTGCTTGAACCCAGGAGGCGGAGGTTGCAGTGAGTCCAGATCGCGCCATTGCATTCCAGTCTGGGTAACAACAGCGAGACTCCGTCTCAAAATAAATAAATAAATAAAGACCCCTAGCACATTTTACTTATTTATCTAATAGCATTACTGCATAATTTAATGTGTGCAAAATAAATTGATAGGTTTTGAAGTGTAGTGATAAAATAGGTGCCACCCAATTTAATAGCAATGTCATTGAAGCTTTCTGTGAACTTAATAGCTGAAAATACAAGTTCTAGATAGTCAAACTCTTTAAAAAATAGATTTGAAGAAGTATAGGGATAGGGTAGTGTGAGATGAGAATTTCTGTATAAATTTATCTTACAGAAACAGTGGAGATACAGACACATGTAGACAAAGATTCATGTAAAAGTGTTTATCATGGTATTATTGTTTAAACAAGAAATGTTAAGCTACAATTTTTTGAAAAATAGCAGAGAACAAATACAGATTATATTTTTGAGTAATATTTACTAACACTGAAAAATGCTCAAATGTTTATTGACCAAAACCGAGAAACATAATTATATACATTATTATACTAATTTAAATAAATCTATATACAAAAAAGATAGAAGGAACCCATCCAATATTCATTGCCGGCTGTGAGTAATTTAAATTTTAATTCTTCATTAATTTCTGTTTTTTAAACTTTTATGATGAACATTATTAGTATAAACAGAAATGTGCATAATTATAGTTGAGAGAACAAACGTAATGAAACAAATTTATGGCACACATATCTTTACAAAATAGCATTCCCAGCTTTTTCCAGGTAGAGAGAATCAAAAATCAAAACAAAACAAAAAACACTAGGATTTAAAGATTAGTTGCTCTCATTCTTTTTTTTAAGCTAGGGAAGGCTTGTTTTTCCTCATAGGAAATGAGGATATATAATATCTTTTTTTTTTTGGAAAAATTTACCACTATTTTGGAACTTTCAATTTAATTATCTTAGAAGAGTATTATATTAAAAATACTTGATTTACATATCACATGATTACAGGTTAAATGGAAAGAATTTCTATTTGAAAACTAATTTTAAAATCCAATTAATTTTTTAAAGTATTGTTTGTGGCTTTGTATACTTCTTAAGGAACTAAAATGGAAGCAGAAAAAGGAACTAGTACCTGTGGTTATTTTTAAAGCAGAATCACCTCTCAAAACTTCTATGTGGATTTTATGTATTTTATATTTTCAATTAAACTCAGAAATAATTGAAAAATCAGGGTAGACTTTACTCTTTAATGTAATTTACTTGACAATGCATATACATTTTCACATATGTAAAGTTTCCTTTCCCTAAGGTACCGCCTAGGAGTGGCTGGTTGAGGGAGATTGGTACAATAATTTGGACTGATGTTTTATGGATATGTTTTATATTCAAGACACAGTCTGACCTATTAACCATGTAGCCTATGAATTCTTTGACAGTGTTATGCAATCAAATTTAAAATATGGCAGATCCATTATGTCACCTTTTTTCTTATCTTAGTGAGACTTACAGCTTTTAAAATTATATATTTTATTCCTACCATCTCTCCCACCTTCCCAGTTTGTCCCCACTCATATTTAAATGTATGTAATTTAAAGGAGTGTTCTGATATTTATCCCAATCTTTATTTTACTTGGTAAAACTTTGCATCATTTCACTTATTTAATCTTTTTATATGAGGCTGGCAGCCCCAAATTCTATATAGAAGGCACTGCTCTTCAGTCACACCTCATATATCTGGCATTATTGGAAAATGAGGTTTCCACACGATTGAATTTTCCAGATAATTCAGCTGAGTTTGACGTGCTTTTGTTGAGCGTCTACCATGTGGCAAGCACAGAGGACATAAGGCCAAGTAAATAAGGCCTCAAAAGCTCCTAGCCTGGAGGCCAGGGACTGTGGTGGGCCTGCCACACACAGACTTTAATAACTATAATACAATGTGCTAAGAACGATGATGTAAATATGCACTAAGTGTTATGGAAATGGAAATGAAGAGAAAGTCAATTTTTTACTTGGGACCCTAGGGAAAGCCTCTGAGAGGAGTTCACTTTTGAGGTTGAACTTTTCAAGAAGAGTAGGAACTTTCTACAGGCAAAACAATAAATGGGGAAAGAATAGGGCGAGAGAGAGAGACAGGAGAGAGGTGTATCCCAGAAGAAATGTTCCTAAGCACTAAAAATATTTAAGCATATAATGAATTAAAATTAATACAACAAAATTATCAATGACAGTGTTACTACTAATAAGAATAGCAGCCAGCACTTACGCATTTAATGGACACTCACCATGTGTCTGGCACTGTGCTGTTTTACTTGAATTAATTTTTTCACAAATACATATATTTATGTATTCCCCAAAGAAAAAGTGCTATGTAGAATCAACCTTTCCCTAATGCTCTATGAATATAAATTTCTGTACTCCATTATACAAACATTTTAAGCTAGCCTGCTTGATGTCATTAGCCACCTTCAGTACTTGGATATATTTAATTAAGCTGTCACCATTCCAGTTCACAGTCAGCTTTATATTTACATCATCTCCACCCTCCTCCTCCTCCAAGATTTGTGATTCTTCTGTGGACATACTTCAGAAGGTACTCTGACATTTTCCACTCAGGAAGATTTCCTGGGCTCTTGACACCAGGGTGCCAGAGCAGGATACTGAAAAGGTAGCTGATGTTGTCTGTAAAGTGTATAGAACAGTACAAAAGGATAGCTTGTATCTCTTCAGTGTGCAGAGATCATGTTCTATTTTAGCAGTTCTTACCTTGGGTGCTTTTGGTCCCTATGAGACATTTAGCAATGTATGGAAACATTTTTTTTTGTCATCCACAATTGACAGGGGGGTGTGTATGTTTGTGTATTGTTACTAGCATCACGAGTAGATATGGTGGGGTAGTGATGTGGGCAGGAATCCTGCTAAACCTTCTACAGTGGACAGGACAGCTCCTCTACCTCACAAAGAGTGGTTCCATCCAAAATGTCCATGGTACCAAGGTTGGGAAATCTTGCTCTATTTGAAAATTTAAGATATAAACCTAAAATAGAAATACTTTGTTCCATAAACTAATATATCAGTCAGTGAATTTTGCTTTGTCCATTTCATATTTTGGATCATAAGATTCATAGGATGAAAGAGCTCTTAGGAGTCTGTACTGGGTATGCTGCTCATTCATTACATGAAAAATGGTTGGACGATCTGTAGAATAGTCTCATGTCCTTTTTGCTTGTTGAATGAGGGGACCTCTTGGGTGTGTATCTGGTAGCACATGTTTAAATTTCTCTGCAGGGGAAAAATATGGGATGATGTAATGCTAGGAAACCTGCTTAATATTAAAAATGTCTTGAAGATTAAAAAAATTCTTCTCAGTGAAAAGTGACTGAATTTTGTTAGTGAGAATCCAACTTGTGTTTTTCATTCAGTTGTATCTAATATTTCTATTCTACCAGTTTTCATCTGTACTTTTTAAATGCAACATGGAATTAGATGTTTTGAAAATTAATGATTAGAAAGATTTATAGAATTGTATACTTCTGCATTTATTTTGGGAAATAAAGCGATTTACCATTTGAAAATATCAATGAGAGACCTATTTCAAAATTCTAGCCCATATAAGCTAAAAGTTTCTCATAAGAATAGAGTTTACCATTATTCATTTGTAGTCTCTTGAATAATATGTTGGTATTTATGGCAAATACCCAGAAAGAAATGTATGCTTTCTCCTTGGGTGGCCACCCTTATATTTTTACTGGACTTGATAAGCTATTGAAGGAAAAATGGAGATAGAAGACAGTGAAATAGTTATAATAATAGAAGCTTTGAGAAGAGTGGATGTCATTGTGGACTATAAGGTTCATACTTTATGAAAGTAAAGTAGTGTGGCATCTTTTCCTCTAAAAGTTGTTGGTGTAGGTTCTGTATAATTTCTTGAAGCTTTTCTGGACTAGGTTTAAGGGCTTCATGATTAGATAGTAGAGTGGCTATCCTACTGGTTCACTATCCTTTTTGTTTCTCTTTGTATATAAAAAATTAATGTGGCTATACTCTTGGATAACTATGCTTTCTCTCCCTTCATATATATATGTGTGTGTGTGTATATATAAAATATATGCATGCATACACACATATAGATATAATTATGTAATTGAAATCACAACCAGCGTTGATATTTTCTTAGGTCTTCTTTTTGATTATAAAATGATTTTGGTAAGTTGTCAACCAAGTTTTTCTCCATTAGGACTGAGGGGTAAAGCATTACTATGGATTAGATACCACAAATGTTCCTAAAGTTAAATAAAATGAATAAATTTCTATTTCCAAAGTTTGTGAGTACAGGTTGTTAAATAACATTTACATTAGTAATTTTATAAATCACTTCTGACTGTAATGAGTTGGATGCAAGAATAATGCATATAACTCATTATATACTCTTACTGTACATGTGTTTTGGTAAGAAAGTAGCAATTACAGTAATTTGTATATTATTTTCTCCTTGCAATAGGTTTATGGGGTAGAAATTAATTTAAAGAAGATTCGTTTAATCATCTTTTAATCTTCATTTACAGGAGAAGAAAGGTGACTTTACAGAACATAATTTTTTTTCTAATATTAAGCAAAGCCTGAGTATAGCAAGTCAGTGTTGAAATTAAGTAGGCACCAATTCCATCTATGATTGATTGTGGTTCCTGGATTCATAAAGGTACATGGATAGAGTAGCTCTTTAAAGTATCTGTGGTGCAGGTCAAGATGGCTTACTGGAAGCAGTAGCGACTGGAGGCTCCCTTTGAAAAGAACCATTACAGCATGCGGATCCTGTACCAGCAACCGAGGTATCCAGGTTCTGTCATCAGAACTGACTGGGTAGCTGGCATGACCCACGAGGAGGAAGAAAGAGCAGTGGGGTGTGGTAGCCTGCCCGAGAGTCTCACGGGGCAGAGGAGCCCCCATGCCCCAGCCAAGGGTGGCAGTAAGTGAGCATGCTATCTAGCCTGGGAAAACATGCTTCTTCCCTGGAACTGTGCAACCCACAGATCAGAAGAACTCACTTATGATCCCATGCCACCAGGGCATGGGGTCTCATCCGTGGACCCACACAGATTCTCAACAGCCACGAAGCTAGAATCTATAGGGGGAGGGGTGAGCAGTACCACATCTGTGGCTGACTGCTGTCTAAGCCATTTGAGCTCCTGAGGGAGGGGCGCCAGGCAACACTGGGACTGGTAACTGCCTAACACACTAAGCTCCAGGCTGCGCTTTTCCTCTGCTGGACCCAGGAATGCTGGATGGCTTGTCCCAAGAAGTATGCCCAGCAGCCCAACACACCAGCTGTGGCATGCTGTGGAGAGAGTGCTCTTCAGACCTGACCTTGACCTATCCCTCCTCACTGGGCAGGGCCCACCTGCAGGAACTTCTAAAACTCCAAGAAGGTGCTCAGGGATAGAACTCTGATCTCCTTGGGCCTCAGCCCCTGGGTGAGGGGTGACCACAGTCTCTGAAGACCAGCAGACTTAGTCTTTCCTCCTGCTAGTTCTGAGGAGTCCAGACAGCTCATATGAGTGGGTTCCCCCCAGCAAAGCATACCTCCTCCAACAAGGGACAAATGCTTTGTTAAACAGGTCCTGTTCCCCATGACACCAAACTGGGTGAGACCCCCTAACAGGGGTCATCAGATACTCTATGCGGGAGTGCTCCTACTCACATCATCTCGGTGCACCTTGAGGATAGAGACCCCAGCAGAAGGAGCAGGGACTCATCTTTGCTCTTCTCCAGCCTCCTCAGGTGACATCTCCAGTGAGTGGTGGAGTGAACCAGGTGAATAGGGCCTGAAGTGAACTCCCAGCAGACTGCACCAGTCCTACCGAAGAGGGAGCTGACCATTACAAGAAAAACAAATGAACAGACAGCAACATCATCATCAACAAAAAAACCCCACAAGAACCCCATCTAAGTGTCAGTAGCCTCAACTATTGATACTAGATAAACTCATAAAGATGAGAAAGAACAATGAAAAAAACACTGAAAACCCAAAATGCCAGAGTACCTCTGCAGCAAGAGTACAGAATTGGATGGAGGATGAGATGGATGAATTGACTGAAGTAGGCTTCACACGAAGGTGGGTAGTAACAAACTCCACTGAGCTAAAGGAGCATGGTCTAACCCAATACAAAGAAGTTAAGAACCTTTATAAAGGGTTACAGGAGCTGCTAACGAACTAGAATAACCAGTATATAGAGAAACATCAAGGACCTGATGAAGCTGAAAAACAGCACAAGAACTTCATCAAGCATACACAAGTATCAATAGACAAAAATCTACCAAGTGAAAGAAAGGATAGGAGTTAGAAGACCATCTTGCTGAAATAAGGCATGAAAAGAAGATTAGAGAAAAAATAATGAAAAGGAATGAACAAAACCTCAGAGAAAATGTGACTGTGTAAAAAGACCAAACCTAGGATTGATTGGAGTACCTATAAGAGATGGGGAGAGTGGAACCACGTTAGGAAACACACGCCAGGATATTAGCCAGGAGAACTTCCCAAACATAGCAAGACACACCAACATTCAAATTCAGAAAATACAGGGAAAACCACTGCAATATACCATGAGAAGATCAACTCCAAGACATATAATCATTGGAATCTCCAAGGTTGAAATGAAGGAAAAAATGGTAAGAGCAGCCAGCGAGCAAGGCTAGGTAACCTACAAAGGGAAGCTGAAAGACTAACAGCAGACCTTTCGTCAGAAACCCAACAAGCCAGAAGAGAGTGGGATCCAATATTCACCATTCTTAAAGAAAAATATTTTCAACTCACAATTTCATTCCAAAGCAAACTAAGCTTCCTAAGTGAAGAAGAAATGAAATCTTTTTCCGACAAGCAAATACTGAGGCATTTCATCATCACCAGGCCTACCTTGCAAGAATTCATGAAGGAAGCACTAAATACGGAAAGGAAAAACTGATACCAGCTACTGCAAAAACAAACCAAAATATAAAGAACAATGAACTAGGAAGAAACAGCATCAACTAGTATGCAAAATAACTAGATAGCATCATGATGACAGTATCATATTCATACATAACAATATTAACCTCAAATGTAAATAGGTTAAATGCACCTATTAAAAGTCACAGACTAGCAAATTGGATAGAATCAAGACCAATCAGTGTGCTGTATTCAGCACATCCATTTCACATGCAAAAACACACATAGGCTCAAAATAGAGAATGCAAGAAAATTTACCAAGCAAATGGAAAGAAAAAAGCAGAGGTTGCAATCCTGGTCTGTGATCAAACAGACTTTAAAACATCAAAGATCAAGAAAGACTAAGAAAGGCATTACATAAGAGTGAAGGGATTAATTCAATAAGAAGAGCTAACTATCTAAAGGAGCACCCCGATTTATAAAACAAGTTTTTAGAGACCTACAAAGAGACTTATACTCCCAGACAACAATAGTGACCCCACTGTCAATATTAGGCAGATTGACAAGATAGAAAATTAACAAAGACATTCAGAACTTAAACTCAGCTCTGGATAAGTGGACTAAATAGACATCTACAGAACTCTCCACCCCAAATCAACAGAATATACATCCTTCTCAGTGCCACATGGCACTTATCCTAAAATCAACCACATAATTGGAAGTAAAACACTCCTCAGCAGCAAATGAAAGAAATAAATAAATAAAACTGAAATCATGACAGTCTCTCAGCCCACAGTGTAATCACATTAGAACTCAGGATTAAGAAACTCACTCAAAACCACATGACTACATGGAAACTGAACAACCTGCTCCTGAATAACTCCTAGGTAAATAATGAAATTAAGGCAGAATTCAAGAAATTCCTTGAAACCAATGAGAAATGGCAATATACCAGAATCTTGGAAAACACAGCTAAAGCAGGGGGAAACTTTTAACACTAAATGCCTATATCAGAAAGCTAGAAGGATCTCACACTGAGACCCTAATATCAAAAGAGCTAGAGAAGCAAGAGCAAACAAATCCAAAAACTACCAGAAGTCAAGAACTATCTCAGAGCAGAACTGAAAGAGACAGAGACACAAAAACCCTTCAAAAAAATCAATGAATCCAGGAGCTGGTTTACTGAAAAAATTAGCAAACTGGATGGACCACTAGCTAGACCAATAAAGAAGAAAAAAGAGAAGAATCAAATAGACACAAGAAGAGCTAACTATCCTAAATACATATGCACCCAATACAGAAGCACCCAGACACATAAAGCAAGTTCTTAATAACACACGAGGGGACTTAAAGTCTCCCACTATTATTGTGTGAGAGCCTAACACCCCATTGTCAATATTAGACAGATCAACAAGACAGAAAATTGACAAGGATATCAAGGACTTGAACTCGGATCTGGACCAAGTGGACCTAATAGACATCTACAGAACTCTCCACCCCAAATCCACAGAATATACATTCTTCTCAGAACCACATTGTACTTTTTCTAAAAGTGAACACATAATTGGAAATAAAACACTCCTCAGCAGATGCAAAAGAATGGAAATCATAACAATCAAATTAGAATTCAGTAACTACATGGAAACTGAACAACATGCTCTTAAATGACTGCTGGATAAACAGTGGAGTGAAGGCAGAAATAAAGACGTTCTTTGGAACCAATGAGAATGGAGATACAACCTACCAGAATCTCTGGGATACATTTAAACCATTGTCCAGAGGGAAATTTATAGCACTAAACGTCCAGAAGAGAAGCGAGGAAAGATCTAACATCGATAACCCTAATGTCACAATTAAAAGAACTAGAGGAGCCAGATCAAACAAATTCAAAAGCTAGCAGAAGACAAGAAATAACTAAGTGTATGAGAGGTTGGGAGGTTTTTTTTGTTTTTTGTTTTTTGTTTTTTTAAATCAGGGTCTGGTTCATGAGGATAATGAAAAGGGAAATAATTTTTCCTGTTTTTCCAAGTTCCATCTAAGAATAGTATTCCTAGTGGAAAACATGTTACCAAGAGTGCTTGGGTTTCCTAGCTAACCTACACAATCATATTAAAATGCAATATGTTTTTATAAAGTGACTCTCTGTACTAACATCTAGATAATTTATAAATTTAATTTCCTATTTGATCTTGGAGTTATTTAGAATGGTGTTTCCTAATTCCAAGAGATAGTAAATAGTAAGGAAAGCATTTTGAAGAATGTAGTGAGGTGATGGGGGATCAGTTATTTAATTTTGACTTAATCATGGACAAATCTTGGTTTACATGGGATGAAAGATAGATAACAGTTTGCAAAATGGAGAAGTGACGCCAGGCGCGGTGGCTCACGCCTGTAATCCCAGCCCCCTGGGAGGCCGAGGCGGGTGGTTCATGAGGTCAAGAAATCGAGACTATCCTGGTCAACATGGTGAAACCTTGTCTCTACTAAAAATACAAAAATTAGCTGGGTATGGTGGCGAGTGCCTGCAATCCCAGCTACTCAGGAGGCTGAGGCAGGAGAATTGCCTGAACCCAGGAGGTAGAGATTGCAGTGAGCCGAGATCGTGCTATTGCACTCCAACCTGGGTAACAAGAGTGAAACTCCATCTCAAAAAAAAAAAAAAAAAAAAAAGGAGAAGCGTAGCACCCAATTAACCAGTGATTTGGGATTAAGCTATTAAAAGAAATGTGATAAATCTATAAAAGGTTAAAAAAACTCACAAATACATTAGAAAACACTCCTGGCTTAGAATATGCTTGATATCATAGAGGCTTCTTATTAATACTGGTTAAATGAATGAATACTCTAATGAATAAAATTAAAACTATGTAGGGGGGTAGGGAGAACTTACCTTTTGATGATCTCTTGAAAAAAATAGCATCTGAATATCCCAAGCCTTCTGATTTAGATCTTCCCTTTCCATCTCCATTTTCTTATGAAAGAAAGAAAGAAAAAAAAAAAAAAAGAAATAACTAAGATCAGACCAGAAGTGAAGGAGATGGAGAGGCCAAAAACCCTTCAAAAAAGTCAAAGATTCCAGGAGCTGGTTTTTTGAAAAGATTAACAAAATAGATAGACTGCTAGCCAGACTAATAATAAAGAAAAGAAAGAAGAATCAAATGGATGCAATAAAAAATAATCAAATCAAAATATCAGCACTCATCCCACAGAAATACAAACTACCATCAGAGATTATGAGACACACTTCTATGCAAATAAACCAGTAAATCTAGGAGAAATGGATAAATCCCTGGACACTTACACCCTGCCAATACCAAACCAAGTAGTTGAATCCCTGAATAGACCAATAACAAGGTCAGAAATTGAGACAGCAATTAATAGCCTGCCAACCAAAAAAGTCCGGGACCCAACGAGTTCACAGCCGAATTCTACCAAAGGTACAAAGAGGAGCTGATACCATTCCTTCTGAAACTATTGCAAATCACACTAAAAGAGGAAATCCTCCCTAACTCAAAATTTTATGAGACCAACATTGTGTTACTAAAACCTGGCAGATATGCAACTAAAAAAGAAAATTATAGGCCAATATCCATGATGAACACAGATGCAAAAATTCTCAATAAAATACTGGCAAACTGAATCCAACAGCGCATCAAACAGCTTATCCATCACAATCAAGTCAGCTTCATCTCTGGGATGCAAGGCTAGTTCAACATATGCAAAGCAGTAAACACAATCCATTACATAAACAGAACCAAAGACAAAAACCACATGATAACCTCAATAGATGCTGAGAAAGCCTTTGACAAAATTCAACAGCCCTTTATGCTAAAAACTCTCAATAAACTAGGTATCAGTGGAATATATCTCAAAATAATAAGTGCTATTTATGACAAATCCACAGCCAATATTATACTGAGTGGGCTAAAACTGGAAGCATTCCCTTTGAAAACCTGCACAAGACAAGGATGCCCTTTCTCACTACTCCTATTCAACATAGTATTGGAAGTTCTGACCAATGAAATCAGGCCAGAAAAAGAAATAAAGTGTTTTCAAATAGGAAAATAGGAAGTCAGATTGTCTTTATTTGTTGATGACATGATTGTATATTTAGAAGACCCCATCATCTCAGCCCAAAATCTCCTTAAGCTGGTAAGCAACTTCAGCCAAGTCTCAGGATATGAAATCAATGTGCAAAAATCACAAGCATTCATATATACCAATAACAGACAAACAGAGCCAAATGATGAGTGATTGCCCATTCACAATTGCTGCAAAGAATAAAGTACCTAGGAATACAACAAACAAAGGATGTAAAGGACCTCTCCAAGGAGAACTATAAACCACTGCTCAAGGAAATAAGAGAGGATGCAAACAGATGGAAAAACATTCCATGCTCATGGATAGGAAGAATCAATGTTGTGAATATGGCCATGCTGCCCAAAGTACCTCATAGATTCAATGCTGTTCCCATTAAGCTACCATTGGCATTCTTCACAGAACTAGAAAAAGCTACTTTAAGATTCATATGGAACCAAAAAGCCCACATAGCCAAGAAAATCCTAAGCAAACAAAAACAAACAACAACCACTACCACAACAACAAAAAGCTGGAAGCATCATACTACCTGCCTTCAAACTATACTACAAGGCTACTGTAATCAAAACAGCATGGTACTGGTACCAAAACAGAGATATAGACCAACAGAACAGAACACAACAGAGGCCTCAGAAACAATGCCATGCATCTACCTCCATATGATCTTTGACAAACCTGACAAAACAAGCAATGAGGAAAGGATTCCCTATTTAATAAATGGTGTTGGGAAAACCGACTAACCATATGCAGAAAGCTGAACCTGGATCCCTTTGTTACACCTTATACAAAAATTAACTCCAGATGGATTAAAGATTTAAACCTAAGACCTAACACCATAATAAATTCTAGAAGAAAACCTAAGCAATACCATTTAGTAGGACATAGGCATGGGCAAGGACTTTATGAGTAAAACAACAAAAGCAATGGCAACAAAAGCCAAAATAGACAAATGGGGTCTATTTAAACTAAAGAGCTTCTGCACAGCAAGTGAAACTATCATTAGAGTGAATTGGCAATCAACACAATGGGAAAAATAAATTTGCAATCTACCCATCTCCCAAAGGGCTAATATCCAGAATCTACAAAGAACTAAAACACAGTTACAAGAAAAAAACAAACCTATCAAAAAGTGGGCAAAGGATATGAACAGACACTTTCCAAAAGAAGATATTTATGCAGCGAATTAACATGAAAAACAGCTCATCATCACTAGTCATTAGAGAAATGCAAATCAACACCACATTGAGATATCATCTCACACCAGTTAAAATGGCAGTCATTAAAAAATCAAGAGACAACAGGTCCTTGATAGGATGTGGAGTCATAGGAAGCCTTTTACACTGTTGGTGGGAGTGTCAACTAGTTCAACCACTGTGAAAGATATTTTGGGATCCCTCAAGGATCTGGAAATAGCAATATCATTTGGCCCTGAAATCCCATTACTGGTATCATTTGGCCCTGCAATCCCATTACTGGGTATATATCCAAAGTGTTTTAAATCATTCTGTTATAAAGATCACAGGCACATATATGTTTATTACAGCACTGTTCCCAATAGTAAAGACCAGGAACCAACCCAAATGCCCATCAATGACAGACTGAATAAAGAAAATGTGGCACATATACACCATGGAATACTATGCAGCCATAAAAAAGGATAAGTTCATGTCCTTTGCAGGGACACAGATGAATCTGGAAACCATCATTCTCAGCAAACTGACACAAGAACAGAAAAGTAAGCACTGCGTGTTCTCACTCATAAGTGGGAGTTGAACAATGAGGACACATGGACACAGGCAGGGGAGCATCACACACCAGGGCCTTTTGAGGGGTGGGAGCCTAGGGAGGGATACCAGGGAGTGAGGGTATTGGGGAGGGATAGTATAAGTAGAAATACTTAATGTAGATGATGTGGTGGTAGAGGCAGCAAATCACTATGGCACATGTATACCTATATAACCTGCACATTTTGCACATGAACCCCAGAAATTAAAGTATAATAAAATGATAAAGGGGATATCACCAGTGAATGCATAGAAATATAAACTACCATCAGAGAATACTATAAACACCTCTATGCAAATAAACTATATCTAGAAGAAATGGATAAATTGCTAGACACATACACTCTCCCAAGGCTTAACCAGGAAAAAGTAGAATCCTTGAATAGACCAATAACAAGTTCTGAAATTGAGACAGTAATAAATAGCCTACTAACCACAAATAAAAGAAACACCCAGGACCAGATGGATTCAAAGCTGAATGCTAACAGAGGTAGAAAGAGGGGCTGGTACCATTCCTTCTGAAACTATTTCAAACAATTGAAAAGGAAGGACTCCTCCCTAACTCATTTTATGAGGCCAGCATCCTGATACCAAAACCTGGCAGAGACACAACAAAAAAAGAAAACTTTAGGCCAATATCCCTAATGAACATCATTGCAAAAATCCTCAATAAAATACTAGCAAACAGAATCCAGCAGCACGTGAATAATCTTATCCACCATGATCAAGTTGGCTTCATCCTTGGGATCCAAGGGGATGAAGTAATAAATGTAATCCATCAGATAAACAGAACCAATGACAACCCCATGATCATCTCAGTAGATGCAAGCCTTTGATAAAGTTCAATATTCCTTCATGTTAAAAACTCTCAATAAACTAGGTATTGAGGAAAAATATCTCAAAATAATAAGAACTATTTATGGCAAACTCAGCCAATATTCTATTGAATGGGAAAAAGCTGGAAGCATTCCCTTTAAAAACCAGCACGAGAGAAGGATGCCCCCTCTCACCACTCCTATTCAACATAGTATTGGAAGTTTTGCCAGGGAAATCAGGCAAGAGAAACAAATAAAAGGTATTCAAATAGGAAGAGAGGAAGTCAAATTGTCTGTTTGCAGATGACATGATTGTATATTTAGAAAACCATATTGTCTCAGCCCAAAAACTCCTTATGCTAATAAGCAACTTCAGCTAAGTCTCAGGATATAAAATCAATATGCAGAAATCACAAGCATTCCTATACACCAATGATAGACAAGCAGAGCACCAAATCATGAGTGACCTCCCATTCGCAATTGCTACAAAGAGAATAAAATACCTAGGAAAACAGCTAATAGTGTATGTGAAGGACCTCTTCAAGGAGAACTACAAACCACTACTCAAGAAAATAAGAGTGGACACGAACAAATGGAAAAACATTCTATCTTTGTGGATAAAAGAATCTATATCATGAAAATGGCCATACTTCCTAAAGTAGTTTATAGGTTCAGCACTATTTCCATCAAATCGCCATTGACATTCTTCACAGAATTAGAAAAAAGCTCCTGAGCTCAGGATTCGAGATCAGCCTGGACAACACAGTGAAACCCCATGTCTACAAAAATACAAAAAATTAGGCAGGCATGGCAGTGTGTGCCTGTAATCCCAGCTACTTGGGAGGCTGAGACAGGAGAATCACTTGTACCTGGGAGATGGATGTTGCAGTGAGCTGAGATCACGCCACTGCACTCCAGCCTGGGTAACAGAACAATACTCCATCTAAAAAGAAAAGAAAAAAAAATCTGAAGCATCATGCTACCTAATTTCAAACTATACTTCAACAATACAGTAACCAAAGCAGCATGGTACTGGTACCAAAACATACAGATAGACTAATTAAACAGAATAGAGACCCCAGAAATAATACCACACATTTATAACCATCTGATCTTTGACAAACCAGACAAAAACAAGCAACAGAGAAAGGATTCCCTCTTTAATAAATGGTGCTGGGAAAACTGGCTAGCCACGTGCAGAAAACAAACTGGACCCCTTCCTTACACCTTATACAAAAATTAAGATGGAATAAAGACTTAAATGTAAAGGCCCA